GGCGCTTTTGCAAACGAGTCCCCGTTCTTTCTCCTATTCGCGAAGCTCACCCGAGAACTATTTAAATGAGTCACAGAGTTTGCATCTACCATCCTTCTCTTTTCCTTCTTTGCCGCGGCCACGTCCCCCGGCACCCGTGCGTGCACCGGCGCGACGGTGCTGGCACCGGGCGGCAACGCCAGCCACACAGACCCTCACAGCCCTATCTAAGGAGCCGATGCTCACCTCGACGTCTACATGAAGCGGTGGGAGGCGATACGGCGAACGGGGGTGCTGTCCCAAGCTTCCTCCACGGCGGCGGACTTCTCCCTGTGACGGCAGGCGTGTTCCCGTGAGCCAAGGTACCGACATCGTGAACAAGCGCAAGTATGGGCAACAGAGACTCACCCCGAACCTACCGGCTGTGATGGATTGATCAGAGACTGACCGAGCGGGCCTGGCCACACGTGCCCAGCAAGCCTCGCGACGACAGTAACACAGCGTGGCCTATAGCACGGGACTAGCAGCATGGCCGGCCACAGCGGTACGGCGACGGTGGCCAGAGGCAGGCCCGGCAGCGGTGCGTGCGTGGCGTCCCAGGGCAGCGACAACGGCATGGCTAGTAGGGCGGGGCCAGTGGCAAGGACGACCGGTGCGGTGGTAGGCACGCGGCGGCTGGCCGGGGCGCGACAACGGCGGCCACGGCGGGTAGCAGGTGCGGTGACGCCGAGCGCCAGCGCGGTGATCACGCCCAGACATTGCACTCGGCCGAGACAGTGACATGCACGCTTTTTAAAGCATTCCAAAAACTAAAACCCGATCATCCAAATGCCAAACCAGTTATTCTATACTCAAGAGGGTACATAGGGCTATCAAACTAAGCCAAAACATCTTGCCACTACTTAACCCGATCGTTCTACAAAAATTATCGAACATGGCTTCGTCAACCCATTTTCAGACTTACGAGAATCAACTAAGCTTCAAACGGTTTCGCGTCGAATTCCATTTCCAAGCTACTTGATACACTAGCTAGCGAACCCCGTCCTCGACCGCACGTATTTCATCGTCGCCTACGAAGTTCGTGCTACAAACTTTATTAACATTCCGCATAGGCGTTCCATAGCATTTCTGTTCAATAAAAATTCACTTAGAACCCTAAACGATATAAAGCGACATGAAATGTAACATTTGTTTCGTGTTACCGACAAACGTTTCAAGTTATGTACATTACTTTATACTCGATACTTCACTCATTTTCCCACAAGTATGATGCTGATGCAGTGTTTTAGCAAAAAGTTATACAATGTAACACCGAGGGTATTACAAGTTGACTCTTCCATTGATTTGCCTATTGCTCTAAGAAAGGAGGCAAGGAGTACAACTGGGAAACCTCCAGTTAAGTATGTCTTTGAGCATGACATAAGTAATTATGTCTCGTATGAATCACTATCTTCTGCATATAGAGCATTTATGCTTCATTACAATCTGCACAAATTCCTAAAGATTGGAAAGAAGCAAAACAAGATCCCAAGTGGCGTGAGGCCATGTTGGAGGAGTTAAGAGCCCTTGAAAAGAATAAAACTTGGGACCTTGTGAAACTACCACCCGGAAAGAAAGTTGTTAGTTGAAAGTGGGTCTTCACTATGCAGCAAAAATGTGAAGGTAAGATTGAAAGATACAAAGCTTGACTTGTTGCAAGGGGGTATAGTCAAACATATGACATTGACTATGATGAAACGTTTGCACCTATGGCAAAGATGAGCACAGCGAGAATTTTGGTTTCTTTTGCGTCGATTTTTGGATGGCCTTTGCATCAATTGGACGTCAAGAATGCTTTCTTGCATGGTGATCTTCAAGAGGAAGTGTACATGGAGATTCCACCTGGTTTCTCTAATGTTGGGGCAATTGGGAAGGTGTACAAATTGAAGAAGTCCTTGTATGGTCTCAAACAATCTCCATGAGCATGGTTTGATAGATTTAAACGTGCACTGTGTGGCATGGGATACAAGCAGTGCAATGGAGATCATACTGTCTTCTATAGACATTCAGGGTGCAACTAAGTAAGGAATTTGAGGTCAAGGACCTCGGGCAACTCAAGTACTTTCTTGGCATTGAGATTGCACGAAATCCAAAAGGCATTGTTCTTTCACAAAGAAAGTATGTTCTAGACTTACTAAGTGAGATAGGCATGCTTGGGTGTCCACTAGTATCAACACCAATTGATTTAAATCACAAGTTATGTGCCGAGTCAGGTAATCCAGTAAATAAAGAAAGATATCAAAGGCTTGTTGGGCGCCTTATCTATTTGTGCCATACGAGGCCTGACATATCCTACACAGTGAGTGTTGTGAGCCGGTATATGCATGACCCGAGAAGTGGTCATTTGGATGCTGTTTACCGAATCCTAAGATATTTGAAGAATAGTCCAGGAAAGGGGCTCTTGTTTAAGAGTCACGGTCACCTAGACGTGGAAGGCTATTGCGATGCTGATTGGGCAAGTTGCCTTGATGATCGAAGATCAACTTCAGGCTATTGCATATTTGTTGGGGCGAACTTAGTGTCATGGAGGAGTAAGAAACAATCAGTAGTATCATGTTCAGCCGTCGAAGCAGAATATAGAGCTATGTCTCATGGACTGAGTGAAATGCTATGGGTAAGAAATCTTTTGTCAGAGTTGAATGTCCTAAAAAAAGGCCCATGAGAGTTCGTTGCGATAACAAGTCTGCAATCAGTATTGCAAATAATCCAGTTTAGCAAGATAGAACCAAGCATGTGGAGATAGATCGCATCTTCATCAAGGAGAAATTAAATGATGGCATATTGGAGTTAAGTCATGTAAAATCAGGTGGTCAAATAGCTGATTGTTTAACAAAAGGTTTAGGAGTAAAAGAATGTAATTTAGCATGTAGCAAGATGGCAATGATAGATATCTATCACCCATCTTGAGGGGGAGTGTTGGGCTTTATCTGTGCATATGTGTGTAAAGGCCCATATGTACCATGTATAGATATATGTAACACTAAGCAAAGACAAGCAGTAGAGTTCCAGAAACTCCCCCCAAATATCAACATAGTTCGAAACCAGTACTTTCCATTCCCACTTCAAATCCCTTCAGCTCTTGTAACAGTTTTTGTTTTCCCACCTCAAAGATGCTGGAATGGAGTTCAATCTTATGATCTGACACAACAAAGTGACACAATTTTACAAGGTTGTTCATGTGTCTTGTTAAACCAAAGCATCCACCCCATTTTTGTAGATCAATGACCTCTAAATGATAGTCTTGACAGAGCAGCAGGTAAGCATATGCCTTTATGATAATACACTAATTTGATCCTTAGGTAACAAAGATGGATAAGTTTTGAAATGTTATGCAAAATATCCTCCACACTATATGATGCACCAAACAAATAAATAGTACGAAGGACTCTAGCCTCCCAAAATAATTGACAAAAAATCTTAGCAAAGCTTCCATTGTGGCTCCCAAATAGCATCAGTGTACACAAGTTCTCAACATCCAATCTTTTGTCCAGTTCTCTAAGTTCCTTTTTGAAGTCATCAAAGTTCACCCTATTCTCAACTTCTTTGTAGTCAATGAGGATAGACAAGTGGCGTACAGAATGTGGGATTTGTATGGACCTCACATTGGAACTATGTATGCTGATACATTCATGTGAAGAAACTTTCACCGCTAAATTATGTAGCAGGTCATTTACGACATAACAATGAGTGCCATTGTCTTTCTGATTCTTTTTAAGAAATCCATAATTAACCAAGTCAATCAAATAGCCCTGTCCTATATCTTCAATTCTTTTATTCTGACCACACGAGTGTAAAATGTCTAGTCCTATCCATAGATGAATTAGCTCATCATTACGAAATTCATAATCTTCAGGAAACAAAGCAAAATAGGAAAAGCATTGCTTTAGAGTGAAAGGAAGGTAATCATAGCTAAGCTTCAATGCTGGCATAATTTCATTCTCATTTGTTTGTAGTTCCCATTCTTTGCTTTCCAGAACTCTATTCCAATGTTCCAAAGTAAGTTGGTTTCTTAGTAATCTTCCTACAGTTTTTGCCGCAAGAGGAAAACCTTTCAATTTGCTCACTATTTTTTCCCCAACATCACGTAATTCAGAATGATCTTTCCATGGCTCCTGGTGACCAAATACACATGCTTCACAGTTGTCTTCAATACTACTTGTGTTTTCCCTGCTACTTGTGTTTTCACCGTCAACTTTAGGAATTATTTTCACAGCTTCTTGTGCCAACCTACTAGCATTAAAATTGAGGGAGACACATACCCAAATTGTGACTGCAAAATGACCCTTCACTTCTTTATATATGTGTTGTGAGAAAGTTGTCTTCCCAATACCCCCCGGACCAACAATTGGAAGCACCACAAGGTCATCTGCAAAATATTTTCCGTGGGTAATGCCGTATATAATACTCTTTTTCTCAGTTTCCCTCCCATATAACGTAGGCTCTATAATTTCTGGAGTGGTTTTGGGATGGTCCATAGCACTGTTTTGGGTTGGAGGAGCGTAATTGCTCTAGCTTAAGAATAGAAGAACCCAAGAGCTCAATATCAAGAATGGTGGAGACCTTGGCAGATACAGGCCTTAGCTTCTCTACAATGTCTTTCATCTTATTGGATATCTCCACCCTGTCAAACTTCAACTTTGGTAATTCAAAATCACGTTTTCCATCTTGAATCTTGGATGGGCAAGCACAGCAGAAGCTTGGCTATCCATTTCTTGGCATGTTGCCAGAGCGAGCATTATTATTGTGGACGCATGGGAATGAGTAGCATGGGAGGCGTTTACCGATAGTATGTGCAGCCCGGCGGTCACTGGAAGCCACCTTTGACATGCACCCGCCATTCTGGTCGCTGGGTGGATCTGGTGTGGAGCCCATGTCACGCCCGCCACACGAACTGATGCCAGAGAGGCATCCTTGCTTTGCATCGTCATCTTCATGCCAGTGAGGATCGCCACGGCATGCTCCACGCGAGCCTGAGGAGAGCTTCAGCTGCCTAGCAACATGTCAGCTCTGGCAGTGTGGCGTGCATTGAGGAAGAGACCGGGCACGCATCCCCCATCGTGCACGTCGGCAGCATGGTGGGTGCGGTCGAGCTGGTCCTGGATGCGGAAGTACTCGAGCTCGTCGAGCACGTCGTCGGCGCTGTAGGCCAGCTGCTGCAGCTTGAGTAGCATCTCCTTGAGCGCAGGGCTCCGGATCTCCCGCCCCTGCGCGTTGTCGAGCATGCCCTGCGCGTAGAGGAGCTCCATCTTGAGGGCGTCGATGTTGGGGCCGAGCCCGGCACTGGCCGCCCACGCCTCAAGCAAGCCATCTGTGACGGGGCCTAAGGCCTTGCCCAGCACCCAACTTGCCGCGCTGACAGCGAATTCCATCCTCAGGGCGGATCGTCTTTGGGGATGCTGCAAGGTATGTAAACCAATTCGTTTTCAAATGCAATTAGGCACTATTAATTAAAGCTGACGTTTTGCGAATGATGGTAGTATGAATTTCTCCAAGTTCTGCTTCTGCCGAAGAAAATAAAGAAGTCAGTGAGGTGTACTACGTACCGGAGGTGGACTGGACACAATGGTGGGAGGGCTGGCGTTGAGATGTGGTGGAGCAATCAGCTCAGACGTTGCAGCGTGGAGACTTGCTTAGGAGTATTTCCTAGTCAGTAGTACAGTGGAGGTTGCGTCAGGGGGTGCGTTCCAACACCGAGGCCAGGTCCATCAGCTTGTTTGGGAGGCCGTATCGTATCGTGGATTATTTATTGCTGGCTGGTTTGGTGTGAGAGAAAAACACTGTTTCCGACTGAAATTTTACGATCGTTTACGAGCAAGCGAACAAGCTGCATCTAGCCTTCGTGGTCATGGGCGTCCCATGGCAGGCTCGCAGCAGAGAGCATCGGAGGCTGCAATCTGGGAATAGAAAGAGATCATTTCAAGTTAAGCACGAGGAGCGAGCCCTGTGATGATGCATCTCAGAGCTCAAAAGACGAGAGCACTAGTAGAGGAGAGTGCCAGAGTTGTGAGCATACTGTACGTTCGATCGCAAGGGACTCGTGATCCTGTCAGAGGTCACAGGTCAGAGAAGAGGACAGGTCAGAGAAGAGTGCCAGAGTTGTGAGCATACTTTTGGTATGAATTGTACCTGGTCTTATTTTGAGGTGCGCTACTATTGTACTATAAAACAGTCCACCTATAATTTCATCGCTACTTTTTAAGTAGTTAGACACTAGTACAAAACTAGTCCACCTATAATTTATGTTTTTGGCTAGTGGAGAAATGAATTTATATGCTTGAACAAAGACATATTAAATTTACACATAGGCATGTTACATCTTTGAAAATTGCTTGATCTTATATCAAAGTAACTTAAAATTACCTCCTATTTTTTTAATCTAAATTATAAAACTCGACCTGCGAGGTAAGACAGCCCCAGGTATTGCATTAAGAAGAAGACCTCACGTGGGTCGAGAAAATCTCGAACTCCTGCCGCCCACCCACACACAAATGCACACCATAGCCCATGTGAGAACGACCACGGCCGAGAGCTGGGCCTTAGACTTGTGCTTTGGCGTGAGACAGACGAGGAGATTTTTTTTAACCCCAGCCTAAAATTCCGCTTCCACGAGGAGTCGAAGTCAAGACCCGAGGAGTGGTACTCGAACCACCTAACCAACTTAGCCAAAGGAGAAAAAAAAACTTAATCTAAATTACTCACATTTGACATTATCAAAATAACTTAAAGTAATCCCTTAAATGTGTATCTAAATTACCTATAGATGTAATTATAGGAAACAACTTTAATATCCCTGAATCTACATCTAGATTATTCACCTTTATTATTATTAAAAATAAACCAAAGTAATAACCCTAATTTTTTCATGTAAACTAAAGACCTGATTCGTTATTAAAAGATTAGCTCAAAGTAGCATATTAGTTTAGGATTTTGCCACTATATTAAATATAAAAAGAATTAACTCAGTCATTAACAAAAATAACCTAAAGCGATTCCTTAAAAATTCTCATCTATAAATTACTCATAAGATCTCTACATCATGGATCCTAGAAGGCTGACACCTATCACCACCCCCGCTAGTGAAATGATACCTATCCAGATACTATCACTGTTATTGTTGTTGGTTTCAACCAAATTTAAACCAAATACCAAATCAATGTTGTTTTCCTCTCACAAAAACCAAAGACCACCAAATAAACCAAAGACAAAGACCAAAGACCAACCAAATGAATGGCCCTATGAAACTAGTCCAACTACTGTCCTTTCCTTCTCCTTTTCATACATATACGCTCTCCTTAGTCCAACTACTTTCCTTTCCTTCTCCTTTTCATACATATACGCTCTCCCAATTTCAAGTTTTCGGCTAGTGGAGAAGTGATTTCATACTTGAACAAAGACGGATTAATTAAATTTACACATAGGCATGCTACGTACTGAAAATTCCCAGTATATATATAGATTAATTAAAACACGTCCAAGTAGAAAAATACAGTGAGATATATATTTAGGGAGATTTGCGTTCAAAAAATATATTTAGGGAGATGGCGTGATGCATGCTAAGTTGATCCATCGAGGGGTGCAAAACTGCAAATTCGTGTGTTAGGTGTACATCAACTTTCTTTTTGCGGCGTGGGCACGCTGTGTCCGGGCCCAATGACTAATAATAATGTTGCAGCGCAATCGACGTATACACCGTGTGTCTCTGTCACCGGATTCGCGATGTCACACACAGGCAGCATGTGTTCCATGCTCGGGCTGATCGGGCGGATATATATCACAAAAGCTTAGATGGGGACTGCTGTCCTATGCTTTGTTGATGAGAACGAATAGTCTCGGTCTCAGCTCAGATACATGAACTAGTCTTGCATAGTTGCCAAAATACAATCGGCCGGAGACATATCAGTGCACAACCATTAAACTACCAAGTTCGACTGAAAAATTATCCAAGCTAGCAACATTAGCTGTCTAAAGGAAAAGTCGAATGATGCGATTCATCTCAAATGGCAATAGATCCATCCCTTCACTGCTACAACTACAATAGTGCGCTCTCTGAGTTTCCCCCTGCCATCCTTATGGCAAGAACCTGACAGATGCAAGAAGCCTTGCCGAGCTTCAAGCCAAATGATGATGTCCCGAAGCGATACCTTCTGAAGATGATTGTAATCTTGGCACAACTTTGGGGCATAGTGCCTGCAGAAAGGTCCGAGGGAAAAGGCTGACCAATATTTCTACTAGAAAAAATGGCATTTACAAATGTCAACTGGCATCACAAACGAGCCTGAGCAGACGTGTAACACTCACCTCATATGCAATCCAGGATGAGTGCTTAAAAGAGTGAGCACCACCGGATGCATGCAGCTACTCTGTTGGAGTAGATGAGTGCAATGTGAAGGAGCTCTTGGTTCACAGCTGCTTGATGGCACTGGCTGGATCTGCCAATCAACAAGCAGACCATAGAGAACGAGAATGACCCAGTAGGAACATCTGAAGTTGTTCCAGTGAATAGAATAGTAGGTGTAGTAGTAGTTTCATGTTGACTACTGAAGTGCCAGAAACCTCCTTGAATCAGCCAAATCTTCATGCCAACACTGCTGCCATGCAATGTTTGATTAGAAAATTAGACGAACATTAGGAGACTTTTCACATTAGCTGCCTATATCATTTGTAACTGAATCTTGAAGATCGACAAAAGTGAAGCTCTTACTGTTGTCAGCACTTGAGCAGCACTAGGCAAGCTTGCACTTGTGCACTTGAGCAGGATAGCTTGTGGTCTAGCAGAAGAACAAGTTGTGCTCCTGTGACATGGAAAGCATAACAAGTAAAACCATAATTCACGGTAAAAATAACTATGGTACCTAACTATCTGTAATGCTACCTAAGGTGATTGAGAATGGCGCTTGTAAATCTTCTTATTTATCTTTTCCATCAATGTTCACTGCATGAAGAAAGAAAAGAAGAAATCTGTGAAGGAAATTTCCATTACATTATAATAAGTGAAATAAAGTATAAGGAAACAAGTTATTATAGCATAATAATGAGAATTTAAATTACTCGTGCACTAGAGAATTACAGTCAGTTCAAAATATTTCTTGCCAATTAACAGAGTATCAGTTTATTCTATGCAAATTCAAATCATGTCAGATATGTGCATCTCCTAATCTCCTTTATAATCTAAAATAGAGAGTCCAAAGGTAGAATTTCATTTTTCACCAGGATAGCCAAATTTACTAGAGGGAACAAATTACACACAATTACAAAATACTGAAGTGATGCATGCTATTATCATGGACAGTTCAGAGCAGCATGGTAATTTACTAAGCAACAACATGACTTAACTGATATCTGCATCATTTGAGATGGCCTGACATGAAAACATTTATAATTCAATTGTGTCTCAACATTTTGAACTGATTTAACATGTTTCCAGAATACCAAACACTGCACATTTCTGCCAGTACCTTCCTCATTACATCTTGTGGCAAAAATATCAATAAAGATTTAAGTGTTCACCACTTCATCAAAGTAAACATTTCAGAGTAATTCATAACAAAAAAAAGAAGGAACTAAAGCAAAATTTAGTATACTCGAGGTACTTACCAGATTCGTTTTTTCATATGAAGGTCCCATGAGCTCAACAAGCTGAACTTTGAGGTGTTTTTAGTTTAATACAGAACATCCATGTGCAAGGATGTAGGCAAGAGTCCAGAACATCAGGTCTGTTGACAGCATGCTTAGGAAATAATATGCAACATGTAGTTGAAAACTTAATACTTGAGGACTTAGCAGACAAAGGTGCATGTACTTAACAAAAATCATTTTTGGCTGTTGCAGTAGCAGAATATTGCCTTCATTACCACAACTTTTGCCTACATATGCGTTCTGTGGCCACATTGGGGTTCAACCTTCAGAGGATATACTCTACACAAGTGATGTAAATAATAAGTTACTGAAACCACTAAACACTTATGGTTATATCACAAGATACCCATATTTGAACATGTGCAGTTGATCAACATAGATGTTACTTTCTGATCTTTAGTTGGCTGATCAGGACAATACAATGCATTCCTAGTTAGCAATCTGCTACCAGGACACAATGCATATGTATCCTTGTTATTATTGCTGTAGATTTATAGAAGTATTGAAACAATGATTTTCTTTAAAACGGATGGAAGAACATTCGGTTTTCCATAAGAAAAAACTCAGTTCAACATCTTCAGTCAGTGATCGCAAAACAAATATCTTCTTATGCTACGTCATTTGTAAAGCCTCAAACGTGGGCACACAACAATCTTAATTCTGAATAGCCAAAATATCACAAACAATTCCAACCTCACTATTTTTCCCCATGGGTAACATTAAAAACTAGCAA